TTTACTTAAAAAGTTAATTTTAAATATTTTTTTATAAAATTTTAAATTTATCAAAAAAAGATAATTATTTTAAACTAATTACTTTTTTAATTTGAGTTTTTTTAATCTGTGTTTTAAGAGTTTTGAAAAAATAAATATTGATATTCAATTTAGCATTCCCCCAATTAAACTTGTTCAAGTAATAATATTTTTGAAATTAATGTTAACTTTTATGATTTTTTATATATATTTATGGTAAAAAAAACTCTTAATCACATATTAAAAAATCCTTTTAAATTTTGTAAAATGCTTGCTTTATCTATTAAAAAATACGTTTTTTTTTTTATGAATATTAGGGATAGGATTCAAACTCCACACCTATCTTAATGTAAGAAATCCTTTATAAATAAAAAGTAACCATTAGCTCACAACTGCATTCTTATTAAAAAAAGTATGTTATTATTTACGCTTAATCTAAGAAATTTATAAAATATTATGTCCCTATTGGTTTCTCTAAGACACCAAACCTAGGGTATGCATGTATCTTAAATCAGTAACAGACTAGGATTCTATGCAGGGAAGGGTCTTATGATAATTGGATAAAAATTATCAATTTTTCAATAGTAATCTCACTCTGCTTATTTGAAAAAATATATATATGTATTTAAAATTAACAATTAAAAAAATAACTAGTAAATAATGATAATTCTTAGTTTTTGTTTTTTTTTTTTTTTTGGTCTATTGGTCTCCAACTTAATTGTCTAAGATTGTCATGCCTATGTCCTTTCCATTGTTAGTGATTCTTCGAACAACCAATGAATTAAAGAAACTTATAAGTTCTCCAACAATTACACATATTAGAGAATGAAATATTTTGAAAGATTTTAAAGAGATTTATGAACTTATTCTTAAAGTATAATTATTTGAATTATGAATTTATTATTTTTTAATTTTTTATTTATGCTTAAGAATTGGGATAGAGAGAATTACTTTTCAAACAATATACAAAATCTGTTCTTTCTTAAGTCCTAAATTATGTCCATTTTATTAAGGTTAGTTGTGTTAATGTAATTTGATTTCTTGTTGGTTGCTATATGTGCATCAATTTGAATTTTTTTTTGCATTTGTCAACAAATTCTCCAAAACCTGCTATTAATGGTATCGTGAGAGGAGAGAAATGAAGATGGACACAAGGGAAACAAAGAGAAAAATTATAATTTAAAATTATAATTTTTAAATATTTAAATAATTAATTACACTAAATAAAGCACTAATGAAATTTTCTTATGCAAATAATTTTCACATCATCAAATATTAAAATCCGCTAATGG